AAAATTTCTCATAGTCAATTTGGATTTATGCCAGCCACGTCTATTATGGAAGCTATACATTTATTGAGAGGTTTGATGGAGAAGTTCAGAGATAATAAGGAGAATCTACTTTTGATTTTTATTGATTTAGAAAAAGCTTACGATAAGGTTCCAAGAGATATCCTTTGGAGAGTTCTCGAGAAGAAATGTGTTGATTTGACTTATATTCAAGTCATTAAAGATATGTATACTAGAGCTGTTACTTGTGTTCAAACTGAAGGAGGATTGACAAAATATTTTCCTATTTCTGTTGGTTTACATCAGGGATCGACTTTAAGCCCATATCTTTTTGCTTTAGTTATGGATGGTCTTACTGGACATCTTCAAGAGGATGTACCTTGGTGTATGCTTTTTGCTGATGATATTCTTCTCGTGGATAAAACGAGAGAAAAAGCCCAGGAAAAACTTGAATTATGGAGGTCTACATTGGAGTCTAAAGGCCTTCGTTTAAGTAGAACTAAAACTGAATACATGGAATGTAATTTTAGTAGTAATAGCTCTAGTGACAGAAGTGTGACTTTGGGTGATCAAATTATTAAAAGGTGTGAACGATTTAGATATCTTGGGTCCGTTGTCCAAAGCGATGGTGATATAGATGGGGATGTTAATAGTAGAATTCAAGTTGGTTGGTTGAAGTGGAGGAATGCTTCGGGCCTTTTGTGTGATAGAAAAGTACCGCTAAGATTGAGAGGAAAATTTTATAAGATGGTGGTGAGACCTGCAATGCTCTATGGCGCTGAATGTTGGCCTTTAAAAGAGAAGCATAATAATAAGTTAAGTGTTGCCCGAGATGAGAATGATTAGGTGGATGAGTGGCTTTACACTTAGAGACAAAATGCGGAATGAATATATTCGTGATAGGGTTGGCGTAGCTCCTGTGACAGACAAAATTAGAGAAAGTCGCCTTAGATGGTTTGGTCATATTAATCGTCGACCATTAGATGATCCGATTAGGAGAGTAGATGTTTTAAATTCGACTTGTGTTAAGAAAGGCAGAGGTAGACCTAAGAAGACTTGGGCTCATTGTATTAAAAATGATCTTAATTTACTAGAGCTAAATGCAAATATGACACTAAATAGGACGCAATGGAGAAAAAGGATTCATGTAGCCGACCCCACGTAGTGGGATTAAGGCTTTGTTGTTGTTGTTGTTTTTGTTGAAGAAAACCACCAAATAACTGCCTCTAGCGCTTAAGCGCGGGGCTTCCGACGCTTAGGCACGCCCTTCTCTGTTTAACCGGAGCTTAGACGCCAAAACACTTTAGCACAATTTTCACCTCTTTGCTCCAAATTTGATCATTTTTCACTTCTTTTATCATTTTCACCTTTCCTGAAAGAAAAACACACAAAACACACAAACACCTTCCATTAAAACGCAATATCTCAAAAATAGGTATAAAAATGCTTTAAAAAGCACTATATATTTTAGGTGTATCATCTACCGCCTCAGGCATGACCAAATCCCAGTTTATTAAACTCATGTACAATGCTTGCCCCACAAATCTATTTTTCTCTATCTTTTCTTCTTCGACACGCACATGATAAATTGAACTGACCACCCAAAACTTATTCAATTCACCTCATAGGGTCGCCACCTCAGCTCAGAGAGCTTCCACATCCATCACATAGACCCGGAGTGTTTCCATGTCCACAAAATTGGCCCGCAGGACCTCCACCTTAGCAACTTGGGTCAAAAGAACTACCATGTCTTCATACACAACTGTCAACTCCTCGCAAAGATTCGAGACTGTTGCTTTTGGTTAGAGGTTGGCAGCCGGAGCAAGGGAGTTTACGATCTTGTATTTGTAGCGAACTAACGACCCATGAGACTCCCTGCGACTGTCAGTTCTCTAGATCAGCTGAAAGAGGTGTTAAAAATAGAGGAGGCACTGGATTAGATACACCTTTTTCTACAACATCATAAAAAGACTAGTGTACTCCACTGACTCGATTTGGTGTTCTGCCAATAAGGGTTGAGAGTGAATGATGTCCACAATATTCTTTGTAATAATTGATGATGTTACAAAGTTAAATGAGGAGGTCAGATGAAAAAGAACCACCGAGTTACCAATCAATCAGTCTATTTCCTATGTAAGGCAGCTCTTTGCAATGAGAGAAAGAGTAGCACATTAAAATCTTTCTCGATCGGTGGCGAAGGAGGAACATCTTCTGCTAGTGAAGCCTCAGTTCGCATAGCTTCTCGACTAAGAAATAGAGTGGATCATTTGTTTTAGGAGGAGCATCACCTTGAGTATTCTTTAGAGTTGGAGGTAGAAGCAGACTGAAGTCCAGTGGCGGAACTTGCATAACCGCCCCCCGAGAGTTCTCCCTCTTGAGACAGTAATTGGGTCGGACGCTGATGAAGCGGTAGAGGGTCTAATACCTCTCCTCCCTTCCAACTTGTTAGAAGTGGTATTAAGTCAAATAATTCACCAACCTCTTCCACACACAATGTTTTTGCAGTTGGTTATTTAACTATTTTATCGATTCAAATGGTCATTTTCTATCGATTGTTTTTTTCTCATCTCCTCTCCTCTTCTTTGTCGGTTGTGTTTCTTCACCCACCATTTTCTTAAGGATTGAGCGAAAACTGTCAGGTTTCCTTATTATTTCGTCTTTTGTGGGGCAGGTTCTAAAATGGGAAGTCCAAAGGCCTTCGTAAGGCTTCCTCACGTACTGGCTTTTTGGCAACTGACATATTCATTCACCTAAATGACTCACAAGAAGAAGATGCGAGAAATGAGAAAAAAGAAAAACACACTTTGGTCTATATTTATATGAAAAGGGGCACAAAAATTAATTTTGTATAATTTAAGTTGATTTTTATTACTCATTATATAAACATTCATGTTATTTAGTTCTCTTATTCTTATGTTAGCGTCACTTTTTAAGAAGTAAGAGAATCGGGGAACTAATTATGAAAAATAACACGAATCTCGAGGAGGTGATTGGAGACATAAATAATATAGATTTTCACCATAAGATTCGTCAATCTCATAAGCCGACCGAAAGAAGAGAATGAACGATCCGAAAAATACTGCACGGCCAAGTAAGCACTTACTTTCCAGAGACTATCGTCGTGAAACCGAGCAGTTGCCTAGGATGAGGTTCTTCAATATAGACACATAGATTGAAGGTAGGCACTTGTCAGATTACGGTGATTCACCCTCTACCTAATGAAACAATTCTACCCAAAAATGATGTGCCTATATATTCAGTCTCCACAGAATGAGCAATTGATGATCATTAAGTAGACCAAAAGATGTTTGTTCGGCTTAATGAATGGCTGACCAAACGAATTTCAAGCAACAAAATGGGCAGGTACAAATGTAAAATAATGTTTAAGGCAGTTATAAAAATCTAGTGACACTAACAGTGGTTACGGGGTAATTAAACATGTAATTCAGTTACAAATGTGTAAATGTAATGACACATTAATTATAGTAATGTCCTTTTTTTAAATGGGGACAACCATGTAATTTATCAGATCCTATCTATGAAATATAAATAGGAGGATTATTTCTAAGAATGGGGACTCCGAACGGAATTCTCATTAAAAATATAAAGAATGTTCAAATCTTCTTTCTTTCTTCATTTCTGTGACTAACGTTTTATTTCTTGGATGTGATTCAAAAGATAATTTATGGTCCAACACCTATCAAATAAAAAGTATCACTATTTTAACTTAAAAAAAAATAATTCTCATTTTTTTTGGGCAAAGATAAGATGATGTAAATTTAATAATTAAAAGTAAGTGTTATATACTTAAATCACTGATGAATATTCTAATAAAAAAAAATTATAAAATAGAAATACTTCTTTTAACTTTATTTGATTACATTTTAATTATGTAAATTTTAAAAATCTAGAGAATTAATATTAAGTTTTAAAATTATCAACCAACTTTAAAAATAAATAATCAGTCACCAATTAGCTGCTCAGAGCACTACGCAAACGCTAAAGACGAGCGCTGACCAGTATCGTCCCATTAATTACATAAATAATTAATTATAGGATACAATATATTGAAAATTATTTAATTGAAAAAAAAAATATCGCCGTCAGGATGGAAAAGGATTGGCTTCGTGGAAAATAAAAAAGAAGAAAGTGAGCAGGAAATCGCTTCCTCAACGAATCGTCTTCTCCGATTAAAAACTTTAAAAAGAGTAATCCTTCAATCCTTTCTTTTGCGATTTATTGGAGTTCAGCTTCGCTTGAAATTGTCTGTATTGCCTAATGTTCTTACTGTATACAGAGGGCGGCAGGCGGCAATTTTACCGGTGGTTTGGAGTATTGATTTGATCGCCTGTTGCGGAATTTCAGTTCTTTTGAGGTATCTTTGATGCGCTAATCTGATTTTTTTTTTTTTTTTAAATTTGTGCTCGTTGGGTGCTTCGGAGGTCTTTTGGGCTTTGATTTTTCAGCGATTAATTTGATAACACTTTTTGAAATTTATCTATCTGGATGATTTGTCTTAAAATCTATTGATATAGGACTGGTTTTGATTCATTATTCGACGTTTTATGGAAACGATGCTCTTTTATTGAGTAAAATCAATATGTACCAATGTGAGCCCACAGAACTTTGCCTCATTCTCATAGCTTCTATGGCATCTTATTCATCACTGACTCCATTGATCCCAAAATTCCTTCAACAAAAAAAAGGGGAAAATCTTGGCACTTCTTGGCACTTTATCCTAATCATTCATTTTTTTTTTTTTTGGGGTAGAAAGTAGTTGAAGATTAAAATAATCAGAACAATGATGCCTTTTTCTGATCTTTTATAGTTTTGCAAATTGATGGACGCTTTAGCAGTGGTGTTACACCGTAATTAACTCTACTAGTATATTAACTTCTGCAACCTATTAGCTATCAAATAGATACCGATAGCAAAAGGGAATTCCAATAACTAAGTAAATTGTCTTATGGAATTGGCCTTACTTGTTTAACATCATTATCTGCCAAACATTCAAAAGCTTCTAAGTGTTGAGCATGACTAAGAATGTGTACTTGAGTGATGCCTTTAGTTCTTAGTTCGTATGATGTGATCATGTGATCAAAAGGCCTGCTAGATGTTTCATATGTAATAACCATTTCGATTTTTTATGAATGGACTGACATTTTCTAATGCATTTAAATATGTTTACATTTTTATGCAGGATGACTCGGGTTTAAGGTTTACTAATGTGGCTAATATAATGATAATATGAACATAAGCAAAGGAAATTGAGGATTCCTATATCATGTCACCAAATAATTCAATTGATTACTTTCTTTTAAAGCAATTAGACAATACAAAAATTATAACTCAGTGGGTAGTAAATTAATTTAAATAGTTGAATAAATTTTACAAGTAAAACTCAATCATGTAAAAAAAGCAAGCAATTGAAGTCAATTTCCAAATGTTAGATTTTGACTTGTCAATTTTTTATCAAAATCAAGAGCACTGAACAAATAACGATCAAATTATGCAAATGAAATAAAACAACGAATGATATTACTAAAGCAAGAAAAAATTAGGGCTCACATCGGTACATATTGGTGACTTCCATCAGGATAAAGTTCTTACACCTGCAATGCATTCAAAAGAATTTCTCTTTTATCTTGCACTCCATAGATTGAAACTAAAAAGAAAAAATTATTTAGGTAAAAAGTCTTCAATTACATATCTCAAAAGAATTACTTTTAAACTCTTATCCCATATGCTAGTATATATTTTTGGCATTGGCTCGACTTAATTATGTTTAAATTCTAAGAAAAGATAAGAATTAATTTTGGATTTAAATTAAAATTCCGTAGAATTTTTATTTGAAAACTTCAGTCTTGCCGATCTCTAACCTAAGGATTATCGACATGATACAATAATTGAGTTGTGGAATAGCCTTGCAAGCCTCTAGTCTTATCAAATAGTGAACAAGTGACTCCAACATTTTGAAATTTTTCAACAAACCCATATGCAATCAACACTCTAAAGAAAACTACAAGAGATGGATTTAAATAATCACTAACCCCTTATAATTAGAAAGTTAAAAATAAAAAATAGAATTCAAGACTACACAATAGGTCCAAGTGGTTAGGGCCACCGCCAACACTTAAGCCGAGATAATTTTACCAATAGAGCAAACTATATCAATTTGCTCAATCTGAAAAGAAAATTTGCTTTGATCAATTGAAATCTTATTCTAAACTGAATCAAAATTAAATTATGTCAAGCCATATGAAATAACATTAAACTGGGAAATAAAAATAAATCTCTTAGGAGTCATAATAAATAGAAATAAACCAACCAAATAAAAAAGAAAACAAATAAGTTTCAGCCAAATCAATGTTTTATGCGATGCTTTTGACTAGAAAAAACAAGCATATTTCCATCAAATTTATATTTCTCAAACAAATTCATCTCATAATTCAGCATTTGGAATAATCAAATTAGGATATACAATATGTTCTTCTTATCAAGTAATCATGAATAATCACACAGTTTTGTTTCAAAAAATGAATTTGATACCTCTAAAATCAATTATCATTATTGACTCAACCTTATCATCTAAATAATTCCGGGAAATAAGTTGTATAGAAGTAAATTGAAATGATTTTGCTAAAATAATCTTATCACATAACCCAAGCAAATCTAATGAGCTAAGTCCCTTGGTGAGGCAGTCAGCCAGTTGCTCTACAGTAGCTACATGACTTAGCTCCAGTAGTCCGCTATGCAGTTTTTCCTTGATGAAGAACCTATTAATCTCCACATGTTTGGTTCTATCACGTTGCACTCATTTGTTGGTGATGCTAATCGCTGACTTGTTGTCACACCACAACCTCATATGTGCTCCTTAGTCCACCTTGAGTCCTGCCAATAAGGCTCTCAGCCACAACATCTCAACAACTCCTAAGGCCATGGCCTATAATCCGTCTATGTTGTTGACCTCGCTAATACTGACTGTTTCTTGCTCTTCTAAGAGACCAAGTTGCCCCCTACGAGCATGCAGTATCCAGATGTGGATCTCATGTCTTCCATACAACTCGCCTGGTCAGTCACAGTAGCTCGCAATGCTTATACGTTCATTCTTCCTGAAGATCAACTCCTTCCCCCGTTTCCCTGATGCACTCTTCAGATATCTCAGAAGCTGATATATTCATTCATGTGACCCTTCCTCGGGTCATGCATATAGCGAATCACCACACTTACTGCAAATGTTATGTCGGGACGAGTGTGACTCAAATAGATGAGAAGGCCCACCAACCTCTGGTACCTCTCATGATCAACGACTCTCTTACCTCTGCGCTAAACTTTTTCTTTTGATCAATTGGTGAAACTGCTGGCTTGCATCCCAACATGTCCGTCTTTTTTAGCAATTCTAGCACATACTTCCTCTGAAATTGAACAATCCCCTATGCTCCACGAGCTACCTCAATTCTGAGGAAGTATCTAAGTTGTTCCATGTCCTTTACCCCAAAACTTGCCTTCATCTGAGCAATCTCTCCCTCATCACCTCCAATGACAATCATATCATCCACATACACAACAATAATAGTATTATGACCACCATGTTGTTGAAAGAATATTTTGTGGTCGGCATTGATCTGTTAATAGCCTATGCGTACCATTGTTTTCTTGAATCTGTCAAACAAAGCTCAAGACTGTTTTAAACCATACAATGACTTTTGCAATCTACATACCTTACCCACCATTTGGTTCATGCACTTCCTCTAGCAGATCCCCATGAAGAAACATATTCTTCACATCTAGTTAGTGTAATCTTCATTCACCATTCATAGTCAGAGAGATGAGTGTCTTGACTATGCTCAGCTTTGTCATTGCTGCAATTGTCTCATCATAGTTGATGTCACCAACTGTACTTTGTAGCAATCAATCTTTTCTTCTAGGGTATGCTTCACTATGAAGACCCATTTACACCCGATTCCCTTTTTTTCTTTTGATAGCAATGCGAGCAGCCATGCCCTGTTCTTATTAAGAGCACCAAGCTCATCCAACATTGCAGCTTTTCACTTTGGACCCTCCTTAGTTATTTTTCAACATTTGGGTGTAGAGACAGTGTCCAAAGATGCAACAAAATCTCAATGTAAAGGTGTTATGTTAGAGTATAAGACAAATTGGGCAATTTCATGTGAGAAACAAAAATGATCCGGAGAATAACAATCAGGAGGATGCCCGCATTGCTGTGAAGGTCTTCCTCAAAGTTATTGGAGTGGGAGCAGAAGAGAGAAGAATTATATCACTTATGTAATTTAATTCTGAGGTGGATGGTGTAGGTGTATCAAGAGTCGGGATAGGCCAGGACAAGGGAGTTGTTAGCACGAGTGGTACATCCGACACCATTCCCTCATTCTACTTTTTCCTCCTTGCATACACTCCCAGCTTCATTTGAGCTTGAGTCCCACCACCTTCGGGCTCATTTTTCTCATTTTCCAGCTCTTCCTCAGTCTATCCTTCCCACACAATGAAATAATGCATCGTTCCCACTATACCAATCTCTCACCATCACTACTCTCCCTCTCTTACCTCATCCCCCAGCATTTAACGTGTCATCAAAGGGTGAGGTCACCTCCAAGGTATAGTATGGTTCGAATTTCTGTAAAGATCACATTCATACTCACAAAAAATCTCCTCTATTGGGTTACAACAATCATACCCCTTCCGAGTGGCAGAATAACCCACAAAAATATGTTTCATAGCTTTGGGATTGAACTTCCGTATTAATGGTCTATTATTTTTCTCAAAACATACACAATAAAATACTTTAAATGGGATGATCCCGTCATTTTCTCCTTTCAACAATTCGCAAGAAGATCGCCACTTGAGCGCCCTTGAGGGTATTCTGTTGATTAATTGAATGGTTGTCAAAACAGTTTTCCCCCACAAATGCTTTTAGACATTCATCGAGATCATCATGCTTCTGGCTACCTTTAGAAAGTGTTTACTTTTCTTCTCTGCTACTCCATCTTGTGTCGTTGTGTATGGATAAATGGTTTTATATTGTATCCCTTGGGTTCAGGGGTACTCCGCAAATGTCTTGTTGGCATACTCTATCCTGTTATCAGATTTTAATACTTCACTACTACACTGTATTAAGTCTGGATGATTCTATGAAAGTCTTTATAGCAAGCAAATTTTTGTTTTCTCATTAAATATAACCAAGTAACACGAGAAAAACAATTAATGAAAGTCATAAAATATCTATAACAATTCATTGAAATTTTAGAACAAGGTCCTCATACATTTGGGCGCACTAAATCAAAAACACAAGAACTCCTATTATCAGAACTAACATAAGAGCTTCTAGTATGATTACCGAACTCAGGCATCACACAC